TATCATAATCCAGACGTGATTATTAACGAATAATATTTAGTGAGAAGAAATTAAGAAACTAATCGTTAGTTGATACGTGAAATTAATATAGATAAAAAGAAATATATAGATAATTTGCTTGTTTCTTAACTTTTGTTACCAAATACGTATTTGCATCTCTCCTCTATTCTTTTTCTCGATTGAAAAATTATTTAATCATTTGGATCGGACAGTGAGCGGTGTTAATAAATGTCGAAGTAATGGAGGACAGAATCTCGTCGCTATACGACGTGAAAGATTATCGATTGGGAATAGGAGATGGATAGGCGAGGAAAGTATTAAAGGGAAGGGACTCCTCTCTCTTGATTATCTTGAACGAAGTGCGGATATAGAGGGGAAAGGGTGCGAGAAGAGAAATGCGCGCGGCAAGTGGAGAAAATGCGGGAGGCCGGTGAATACGTGGACGGGATTTTTCACGAATCGATTATGGCAATTCAATCAGGAAGAGGGGGAGGAGGGGATGGTGGCGCAAGGGGGCGAGGATTTGTCGTTTCGACGCGAACGTCGGGATGCGGTTTATCCATCCGCGCCCTCTCGGATGTTCTCCATCCATCCCGCCGGAATTCTCCCTGTTTTCTTTCCGTTTCCGGCTAGTTGGACTAGAGTGGAGAGCCGCGAACAAATAGCCTCGAAAATAGACGAGTGGCAGTAAATCGCAATTTTTTTTCCCGAAATTGCGCGCCGAAAATTGCAAAATTTTTCCCCCCATATCACCTTATAAGCGCAACTCGTAAGAATTATCGGAAAAATTTTCGATATCCTTATTACACCTCACGAAAAACCGGCAGACCGAAAACTCTCGAGGAGGAATATATATTTGGAGGGAGGAAAAGCAGCTTGATTACATTTCTGAAACGAGTGGCGAAACGAGCTCTTCTCGAATCGACTGGAATCCACTCCTCGATTACTTTAATCAGTTCCATCCGGTGTCGTGGCTCCGCGACGAGGAATCGTCGTAAGCAAAGGGGAGGCAGAGAGAGAGAGAGAGAGAGAGAGAGGCCGGTGTATATTCTCGGCCACGTAGATGGGGCGTGTTCGCGTCTGGCCTGGGATCGCGTGCGTCTTTTCAGAAGTTTTTAATCCCCGGGCGGGCAGCGTATCGGTCGCTTTGGCGCGGCAGATATGCGACCTTGCTAACGGCCCCCGACGTTTAAAGCGCGCTTCGCGCCATAATTTCCTTGATTAAGTCGAGATACGTGGCGAGTTGCCAAGGAGGGTGGCGAAGGGGTGAGCCGAGGGCGCGCGCGAGTGTCCGCTCGCTCGTAAATAACATCGCGAATTAAGCGTGTAATTTCCGTGCGAAATTACGACCCTGCGCTGTGCCCCTCCTCGCTCCTCGATACTTTCGTTACGATACGAAGGGAGAGAGAGAGAGAGAGAGAGAGAGAGAGAGAGAGGGAGGAAGATAAAATGGGGAGGGCGAGGGAAAATTTATGAGCGTGGCGGTGAGACGAGGCGAGGCCCTGCCTGACGGGTTCCGTCAACGTCGGACACGGTCAGCGACGTATGATCGATGCCGGTGCAATCGGATTACGCGCCAACATTTTTATAGCGTTCGCCGTTTTAATGCCTCTTAACTCGTTCACTTTGTCAGCGGAAGGGAATCGATACGAAGCAGCGGCAACGTTAATTCTACTTGCGATCGAAAAGCAAATACGGGGGTGGATTGAAAAGTTTAAATAAAAAAAAATTGGAGACGCCTGAATCTTTATGAAAACGACGGTTTTCAGAAAAAGAAATCTCGTTGAAATGGATTTTCGTCAACGTCGCAGTTTTTTGTAATTCGTTCTTGAAAAACTTTCTCGACAGATGACGGACTTGCTGGCTGAAACGTTTCGCTTCTTCTTTTTCGAGTGTCTTTAATCTCGAAAAATAATAATTATTAAATCTAGCGAAAAAGACGTTTAATTTTTTGAATTGGACGAATTACAAAAAAAAATTACACAAAAATTAACGCTTCACAATGATGTTCCCTATTTTTGTTTCAACGCGGGATATAATTTTTTATCGACGTGACAAACGAGTGTGGCAGATTTTACAAATTACACGATGTTAAATTTAATTATTGGTGCATGGCGCAAGCGATAATAATCGCCTTCGTGAAGCGATAAATTTTCTTTTTTTTTTTTCGCAATTAGTTAACCGTTTTACCCTTGCCGGCCGATCGTCGATTATAGACACGCTTGGAAAATGACCTTTCGTCGAAGATTGAGAACACGCGAGCCACCGGTACGCATCTGTTCCTCGTGATTGATGCGTAGATTGCGTTTGCGCGATGCGCACCTGCGCCACACCGCGCCTCGTTTTCAGATTCTCGAAACGCGGCGTTGGGCTGATGAAAGAAAAAGAGCGACCGATTTCCTTTCCTTTCTTTCTTTTTTTTCTTCTTCTTCTTTTTTCTCCCTTCTTCTTTTTTTCATCCCCTCGAAAGGGGAAAACTTTCGCGTTCACTCGAGTGTCACGATTCTTCTTTGACGAACAATTCCGCCGCAAGAAGGGTTGCACTCGATTATACGTTATCGCGTTCGATGTGGAATTCCTCCTCGAATTCCATTCCATCGTCGTGAATAATTTAGACCCACGTATTTATTTATTTATTTATTTATTTATTTATTTATTTATGGCTAGTTAAGAGTATTCTTCCGTACGTCGCAACTTACAACCGATCTTCGTCAGAGTTCCAGACTTCATCTCGCCCGTTCACGAGTTCGCGAAATGCTAATAAAGTAGAAGAATCGTATCCACCTTCTTTCCCCCCGGATACCATTCCGAGATATTAAATTTATCAAAGCGGGAGCCTGGTTTACAAGTCTACTACTTACTCTCTCTTTCGCGAGCGGGCAAAATAACTCTCTCCACGACCCGGCTAAATATTAAAGGATTTAATTAAGCGGAGTCCATAAAGCGAAACAGAAAAGTGACGCGTGGATCGGGAGGGATACCCCTACCCCTCCCCCTCTCCGAGTACATTTCCCCGATCACGCTGTTGACTCTGACGTCTGGCTGTCGCAAAGTATCCCAACTTTCCCCTGCTCCTCCCCCCTCCCTCCCCCTCCCCTGCTCGAGTCGAAACTTACTTTCCTCGTTTAAATATTTGACCGAGTGAAATAAGTTTCTTCTCGCGCGTATTTTCCCCGATGCTACGACGAGCACGATCCACCGACCGGTCACCGCGTCCTCCAATCACCAACGAATTTTTTCTTTCGTTTCCCCGGATCGACGCCTCGCCGATTTACCGGCGTTAACGCCGATTCCATAGATTTCGGTCGCTTGCCACGCGTCGTCGAGCGTGGCTGAAATGACTCCGGTTTGGAAATCGATCGGTCGTCGAGATTCCGGTTCGTAAAATCACGAGAGGGAGGAGACTACGAATAATCGAAGCACGCGCAAAGTCGTGAGAGAGAGAGAGAGAGAGAAGATTGGAGAGGGAGGGGAGAGAGAGAGCTCGTGAACGATGACTTTGCGGTTGCCGCTCGTTAACGCTACATATCTCTTGTCGCCTGTCGAGAGCTCGAAAAAAAGAAAAAAAAAAGAAGAAAAAGAAAAAAAAAACTTTTACGACGATCATTCACGTGGCGCGATACGTTATTGGCTCTTGTCCATCGTTTACAATATACTTCATTGAAAATCAATCGCCCGTTTCCAAGTTATCGAATATACTGCGTATATCGTTTTTTTTTTTTTTTTTACAGTATCGACAAAAAACGAGGAGGGAAAAGGAAGAAATAAAAAAAGAAAGAAAATAAAAAAAGGAAAAAGAATAGAGAGCGACTATATAAAAACGAGTTCCAGATTGTAGCAACGTCGAAACGAGTATGGCAACACTTTTATTCGGCCAGCTGCGCCGTTCTCTTCCTCCCCCTTTCTCCCCAAAAATTTATCTCCACCGGCTGAGCCGCTTGAGCTCGGTAACGAATTTTTTACGTCGCGTAACATACGTCGGTATGCATACCTATGGTATGCGCGTTAAAAAATCATACCATCATCCAGCACGATTGCCGGGCACAGGTATCCCGGTATCTTTTCGCGAGACTATTAGCCTCGGTCCATGAAGAGGCGAGGGAAACGGCGCGGATTATTCGGACGCGTAATAAGGGGCGGGAGCCGTGGGCAGGAGCGAGAAGTTGATAACCGGTCCACCACCACTTCCACCACTCCGTGTTCACGGTCCTTTCTATTTTTTATGACGCCCCACAGGGTGGTTGCGAATGCTCGCACGCGTGTACCGCAACGAGAGGAGGAGACCGCTCGATGGAGAAGGAACGAGAGAGGAGAGGACGAAGGGTGAAGGGTAACGAGAGAGAGAGAGAGAGAGAGAGTTGGCTCTCTCGTTGGTATTTCCAATTTCACAGAGCGTGGGTTAACGAGGCCCGAGGGCTGGAGAAGTTAGGGCGACCAAGCCCCTGAACCGAGTCCTCTGCCCCCGCCAAAAGTGAGCCCTATGGTCCCACTGCGTTACGCTTCTTCACCCCCTTTCTCTCTCTCTCTCTCTCTCTCTCGCCTGATCCTTTCTCTTTCTGTCGCGCACCGGGTTCCGGCACATTACCTTCGCTGATTACCGGCTTGCCTCGCGGAGTATGTCACCCAGTCACCCTCGAGACACATACCTTCCGCGATCCGTCGACCCTTTCCTTTCTCTCTCTCTCTCTCTCTTTCTCCTTCGTATCTTCGAGATAGAAAACACGAGTTCGAGACGAACGAACGAACGAGTTTCGCCTCCCTCCTGAGATTTAAGCCGTTGCTCGATCTCGCAGCGCGTGCCTCGCGCGTCTGTTACCTGCGAATTCCACGCCGTGAAGGGTTTATTAGACACGCGAGGTCGCGTAGCAGAGCGCAGGTTTCCGTGCTCTCCCTTTACCGGGAATCAGTTTATGGAATTTGTGGGTGGACGGTGGTGATGTCGGTTGGCAATGTGTGTGACGATATGGTAACGATATTGGTGTCGTGTTGGTGCATTTCAGAGCGGCCCAAAAGTTAAACCTCTCGTCGAGCCCGCACCGTCGACGTCGCTCGGGCGACGAGAACATCGGCTCCGACGAGCAACCGATCTTTCCCAATGGATACGCCGCCCTTCTTCTCAAATCTCCGCCACCCGCGCCACCTGCTCTCCTGCGGAGGATAGGCGTCAAGGAGCTCACCGGAGTCGGCAAGGTAAGTTGTCATCATCTTTCAAACACCTTTCGAACCGGTTCCAACGAATCCGGCCCATTCGTCAACGGGGAGAAGATAGCGCTTCTTCCCGTGCGGTGTACTTGCTCGGAGGCGGAAAGCCGCCGAGACTTCCGCTCGGGCGAACTCGGCACCGGCCGATCCACCACCGATATTCCATCGTATTGGATTCCATCGGTTAGACACGCGACCCCTGTCCCGGGGAAGGGGCCTCGTGCAGCGGAGCGCCGCGTGGAAATCTTGGCTAGGGCGGCCGATTTGAAATGCAGATGAGCGTCTCGCGCCGCTGTAAGCCGCGCGCCACCTCTTCCTCTTCCTCTTCCCGCACGGATTTTCTTCCACCGTCCTTCTTACCGCGATTACCCGCTTGAATATTCCGGCCCGTTCGCAATGATTTTCACCCTCCATCCCCCACCGACGAGGAATAATAACGATACGGGAACGCGAATCATTGGATTATCGGGTAGATATTATCGGGCCGGGGCTTTTCTGGGAGAAACTTTGTTTATTTTTCACGGGCCGAAGATATGGGGATCGAGAAAGCGTGTCGACGGTGCACCGTTGACCAGGCCTCCGTTGTAATTGGCGGGTGGAGGAAGCTAGAGTGCCCTAGAAATTTCGGAAAACGAAATGGAGAGAGTGCAAAAGGGGATGCCTCGACGAACCCCTCGGAGTAAAAGCGAACTTGCGCGCGAGCAAACCGGTTGGAATTCTTGAAAATTAATTCGTCAGAAATAAGGGCTTACGTATTGTTTACCAGCCGGTGAAGCTAATTAAAACGAGACGAGATCGCGGTCGAGGGAGAGGTCGATGGATGCGTCTCCTTTAAAAGACGAGCGGGCCATTTTCCCATTCCAGTCGAATACGCGCTTGCTTGTCTCTCTCTCTCTCTCTCTTGCGGCTTTTCTCGCGGTCTCGATGGTCGAAAAATGAAATTTTCGCGGGAAGAAGCGGGAGAAAAAGTTGGGAGTCGTCGAAACGTGACGCGCGCGACAATCAATTAGAAGTTAGAGGCGGGAATGCGCTGGAGAAAAGTTTGCAACGAATTTATCCGGCGGTAAATTAAGTTTTCGAAAGGTGTAACACCACCTTTGTGCATTCCTTCCAACTTTTCGCGCTCCCCCTCCCCTACTCTTATCGCGTGGAACGTGATAATTAGGGATTCGTCAAAGTTTTCGAAGACGGGAAAAATAATCGATGCGAACGTTCACGACTCGATGGATGAATACTTCGCCTCTACCTCTCCTCTTCACCGAGATCCTTCTCCCGAGATTCGTGACTAAAGCGCGCGCTTCAATCTCAATCTCGGTCGGCGAAAAGGGATTCGAGACGATGATATCCCCGAAATCGATGGAAACGATCGAAGCGCGGGGATTGGACGTGTAACGTGACGGAAGGGTTTGCCCGCGTAATTATCGTTTCTGCGAGAGACGGCGCGCGCGTGCAAACTGTCGAGTCCGGTTGGCCACCTCACAGACAGTCGAATATTTAGTGTCTCTATGAAGAGAGTAATTAAACCGGCCGTTGGCGCGTCGAATACTAGCCAAACGCGGCTTTGCTTTGGCTTTCTGCTCGTTTAGCCGCGAGTGGCCGTCTCTGGCCGTGGCCTGTACCCGGATTCGCTCTCTCTCTCGCTCGCGTGCGACCGTTTTACCGGATGCAAGAGACTTTAACGGCCGTTCCTCTGCCCGTCTGTCGGTACGTCTGCTATTGCCCGTTGGTACTTTCGAGCCGGCCTGTCGGCTTCCAATTTGGCTTCCAGCCGATGCGACAAAGCCGCGCTCTGGTTTCATCATTTAAGTACAAACTCCTGTTTCCGCTCCGCGTCCATCATTTTCTCGAGCAAATTGTGACCGCCAACGACGATCGAACACCGGTTTCTCCTTACTCCTTTTTCTTTTTTCTTTTTTTTTTTAATAAAATCAACGAGATAACACTCGTGTAGGAGAAATTTGGAAAGATTTTACCATAAAGTAAAATAAGTGGTGGGGAGAGAGAAGGAAGGGGAAAAATTGATCGAACCAATGGCCTCTCTCTTCGTCGCTCTCGGGACGAACTTTTCGCCCCTCCCCTGTTGAATCGAGGCGATGAAGAGGTCCGGCTCTCTCGGAAGGCAAACATTCCGATTTCCGGCGAATCTCGATCCAATATGCGACCCGTGTGCCCTCAATCTACGAAAGAAAAACGGTGGCCGGCCAGATTGGGCGCGGCCTGGGAAGATTCGGCCATCGAGTCCGACAAACGCAAAGTCAATAATCCATCGGCGGAGGGGAAGGGGAGGAGCGTGATTTTTATGGGCTCGTACGACCGTGTACCGCTCTTATTTTCTCTTCTTTTTCGTCCGCCCCCCTTCCTTGCGTTCTCGTCCTCGAGCAGGAGGAAGGAAAAGGACGAAGGAAACGTCGTGCTTGACCACGAGGGAGGGACGAGGGAACGATGGCCAGGGGGTTGCGGCCAGCGTGTCGTGAGACTCGAGACGAAATGAACCGTGATCAGGGCCGTGTTCCCATCCTCGAAATAAACTCTTTTTTACCAACTCGAGACGGCCTCTCCCTACAGAGGAGAGAGAAAGAGACGAGAAAGGAAGCGAACTCGCACGAGCGATACGAGATCTCTCCTTCCTCTCGCCGGAAAGCAACAACGGGGATCGGAAATGAAGTTTTAAAGCCGGACGAGTGGAGCACAGTTATTCGCGAGATCGGGGACGATTCGTTTCGCGTGGATAAAAGAATGAATGAAAAGACTTTTTTTTGGTCGAGTTTTGTTTACCTGGAAAAAAAGAGAGAGAGAGAAAAACCAACTCTAATGGAGAATTTATCTCTCTATTCTTCGTTTGAAGAGTTCAAGACAAGTTCCATATTTCATTGTGATTTCATCGAGTCGGATTCGATCTATTTAGAGATAAACGTCATCCACTTCACCGTGCTTCGTTAACGAAGTTCGTTAACGACGAGTCGAGTTTGGTTCCAATCAAACGCGTTAATTCGTTGCCGCGTCGGATTATTCCGACGACGAGTCGCAAGGAGTGGATTTTGGCGAGCGGAGAGGAGGGCGTCGAGTCGCGAGCGAAGGGAGGATAGATTTATGGGGGTGAAAGTGGCCGTGGACAAGCGGCGTGGAAACTTTTCCCGGAAATCATTTCGCTAATTCGAGAGAATCGACGCGTATAGGGGGAACAGTCACCATGGGAAAAGGAAAAGTTTTATGGGCTGTTCGATGCGCCTCGACCTATCTACCACTTACCACCCTCGGAATTATTCATTTATTAATAGCTGATTCGTCGGGGATGGCTCCACTCTCCTTTTCACCCCCCCCCTCATTCCTTGGCCATTTCCGTTCCGCGATAGAAGAAAACGATAACGAGAAGAAAATACGAGGTCCATCGGTATCGGGGGAGGATCGATCGATCGCAGTTATTCGTGGCCTGGAGGATAGACGCGGGGACATGCGCAAATTGACGGAGAAAGCTGGTGACCGGGATTCGCGTCGCGGTCAGTGATTTAAACCGTCGCACGCGTTTGCCAGGCTTTATTGAAACGTCCGGTCTTGGACGGGACTCGAGAGGGTTGAAACCTTGTCCGACCTCGGAATACCTAATCAGGACTTTTGATTCTCTCCCTCGACCCCGAAACTTTGCCTCGAGAGGCAACGAATCCTGATCAATCGCGCGTATCATCGGTCTCGAAGGGAAATCGATGATTCGTCCCTTTCGATAATAATATTTCGGGACAGAGTTTTCGAGGCGATTCTTTTCTTTCTCTCTTTCTTCCTCTTCTTTTATCGCGTGGACGCGAAAAAAGATATATAATATAGTGTCCTCTCTCCAACGTTTTAATTCGATTTCGCGCGATTCCCGTCTAATAGAGGATAACAAACTCACGGCGAATGGGGTTATTTTAATAATGAATTAATCCGAGGGGCGTTACAGGCAGTGAGAAGACCGACATAGGGGTGTTTGCGGACGGTCCGTAGGGAGCGTGGGTACCACGTGGGCCACGTGGTACCCACAGGATAATTGGAGGTCGCTGCGGTTTTAGGGACTCCTCTGGCCCCTTTCGAAACCAGTTCTACGTAAACCCTTACGTGCGTTGGCCAACGCGTACGCCAGTTCGATTGCCGGCATTATCCGGATTCCTGATTCGCTTTGCTGCATAATAATTAAGGATTTTGCGTGGCTTGATACAGTGGCCCTGTTACCTACGCCCCGACGCAAAGCGGCACAAGGGCACTCGCCTTCGCTCGAATCGCTTTCTCCAACGATCTTCGACGTACGAAAATTCGCTGGAAATCCGGCCACTCGTGGCGGTACGAGCACGTCTGCGCTCTCGTCGATCGATTCCTTAAATTCTCTCCGACGAAGTATGAAGTTGCTCGAAACAGCGCGCTCTCGGAGAGCAAGTAAATGGAGAGATATGCAACGTTTCGTTTCGTTTGGAAATTGTTGGAATGAAATCCGGCGAGGATAAAATTGGTGCTCTTTTGGATGCTTGATTTTCCTATGATGCAAATATATCTTGGCACGCGACGATCCATTAGCTGGAAAGCGTTTAATTAACGGAGTTAGAGGTTTGATCGGATTTCATTGCGGAGGCGCAATTAAATGGACAGACGAGCGACAGGTAGGAGGAAACGAATTATTTCGTTGTTGGCCCACGAAACTATCGATTCTCTATCCGTTCTCCTCCTTCTTCCCACTTTCCATTCCAAAAATTTGCAATTTCTCTGTGTGTATTTTCCTTTTTCTTTTCCTTTTTTGGTATTAGAGATAAATTAACGGATTAAACGAAGTAAGCGTTCCCGTTGGTCGGACCATTCCTCGACCCGTCTACTTGACGTCTCATCTATTTTAGATCGGCGGGCGAGCCGATCGAAGCGTCGGCGAATTTGCATTTTTAAATCTGGAGATAAAACCGGTGGTCGGATGGTATATCGGATTATTCGGAAAGCGGAGGTGACTGAACCCGAGCAGATATTTAAAGATG